ACCCTTGTTTCTGTGAAGCATTCAGACCAACTTCTATTTCTTTCCTGTGCTCCTTGCAGTTGACTGGTTTGGTGTATAAAGCATTTGAGTGGAAAACAGTGTTTCTTGATCAAAGAAGGAAAAACAGTCTTCCAACTGTGTAATTGTCCAATTAATTCAGGATTGAAAAGTTAAGTACTGCTCACAACCAGCTGTATTTTGTCTAGCAGTGTTCAGAGAAGCTATAACCTCTGCCCAAGCACTTAAAATAGCAGGAACATATATCAAAAGGGGATAATAATTTGGGGGGAGTGGATAATTTGGCATTGAGATCTGAAAAGAAATTGGAGTAAACAGACAAAAAGGCTTATGAAAATAAGCTTTTGGGTTTTTTTTTTTTTCCTTTGCTTCTCCTTAGGCACAGGAGAAGATGGAAAACTGCTCCAATTAAAGAGTTCCCTGACTATTTTAAACTCTGGAGAAACCTATTTGTTTTTGCTGCAGAGAAGTATTCAGGCTGTCTCCTTCATGCTACCATAATGATAAGACATCACACGTTAGACTTCAAGATCTTAAAGGTCTTTCCAAACCTCGCTGATTCTGTGATAAGTTGCTTTTTACTTTCCCCTTGTTGCTGTATTACATCCTGTTTACATGGATATTGGGAGTGACACAGCAACTGTGTGCTAATGGGATAAATGAAGCAGTTGCTGAAGCCTTCTTGTGGTGTTATTTAATTACCTCTGTTTTCCTGAACCTATCAACACTTCTAGGCAATCCAAAGCAGAGAAGAAATTAACAGACATTTCCATACTGTAAGAGGTGATGTTAAGATTGCAAAACAAATTGTAACTTAAGAAATCCACATGACCATCCCTTATCATAGAATCGCAGAATGGTTTGGGTTGGAAAAGAGCTTAAGATCATCCAGTTCCAACCCCCTGCCAGGGGCAAGGACACTTTCCACTAGAGCAGCTTGCTCCAAGTCCACCTCCCAAGTGGAAGACGTCCTGCAGGTGGCAGGCAGATGGAACTGGATGAATTTTAAGGCTCCTCCAATACCAAACCATTCTGTGATTCTATGATGATATTATCTAGTGTGTATACATATTATATATAATATGTATACACACCAAATAGTACATAGTAGTATATATATTATATAGTATATTATGTACTATCATACATACTATTATGCACTATATATATACTAATGTGTATGCATATGTGGTAGTATAGATATACTAGGTCATAATAGTATATATATACTATATAGCAGTATATAGTATGCTACATACTATTACAGCATATATATACACTCTAGAGTATATATATAGCATACTTTATATATACTGTACATATATAGTATACTATTATAGTAAACTATAATATACTATTATAATACACCATACAATATATATTGCATTGTATACATGCAATACTATATACAAAATATATAGTACATATAAAATAGACTGTAATATTATAGCATACATATAAACACTATGTATATATACACTATATACACATATGTATACAGTGTATAAGTATATATTGTAGTATATATTTTATAGAGTACATATTTTATATATAGCATTGTATGTATATAGAAATAGTATATATTATATATAGTATGCATATAAATAGTTTATGTAGAGTGTATATGTATGTACTTATATAGTGTTTAATAGGAATGAAACCCCACTGGGTTATATGTCAGTATGTAACAGGATGTAACACAAATTTACATATCTTTCTTTTTTCTTTCTTAAAGTGAAACTAAATAGGAGAGAGATTGTTCTGTTAATATTCTCTAACATATCTTGCTATCATATTTTACCCCTTTCTGTAAAATCCATTATATCATTTTCACAAGGGTGTGACTTGCTTTGTCATATGTCAGACAAAGAAACTGATCATCACCCCCTGTTCTATCACTACAGTCCCTGAAGAAGAGTCCCTTTCCAGCATCCTTGTAGTCCCCTTCAGACACTGGAAGCTGCTCTGAGCTCTCCATGCAGCTTCTCTTCTCCAGGCAATCAACACAGCTTAGGAAACATCAACCTAAAGGACAACAGGATAACCTTTCTATAAATACTTTAATAGCATAGCTAGTAAAAGGGTAGGATTTAAGATGATTCACAAAACCAACCAGGGAGCCAAAAGGGAACTCCTTCCAAACACTGGAAGAAATCCCTTAATGACACAGCCTAATGGGATAATCCCCTTAGCAGGAAAGAGGTGAAAGTGTCACTGCTGAGTTCGTGTCAATTCAGGTAGAGATCCTCTGGTGGAGCCCATTTCATCTGTAGAGGAATCACTTTTCCAAAGCAGAAACACTCTGATGACTTCCCCCTTTGCCACCTTCACCAAACTCCTCCAGGGATGCAGGTCTGACCCCTGTGAGTTTTGCTCATCCTGGAATGAAATTCCTGCTTCCACACTGGGAAACGCCAGGCCACAGTTGGCAAATGGACAACCTCCAACCAGAAACATAGCACAAGCATGAAGATTAAAGTGTTTAAATAAAGCTCTGGCCCTTAGCTGTCTACAGCTACCTGAAAGGAGGTTGTAGTGAGGTGGGGTCAGTCTCTGCTCCCAAGAAACAAAGGACGGGACAAGAGGAAACAGCCTCAAGCTGCACCAGGGCAGGTTTAGACGGAGCTGAGGAACAATTCCTGCCCCAAAGGGTGCTCAGGCATTGGAACAGGCTGCCCAGGGCAGGGCTGCAGTCACCGTCCCTGCAAGTGTTCACACAGGGTGGTGACAAGGCCTCAGTGCCATGGGTTAGTGGTGGCCTTGGCAGTGCCAGGGCAATGGTTGGACTGGATGAGCTTAAAGGGCTTTTCCAACCTGATTGACTCAATGATTTCATGATTAGGACTTGTGATCCCCATACAGCTGTGTATTTCTCAGGTTTTGTTAAGTCTGTTGCTATGGGATGGAAGAAAGCTGTTAATATTTTCCCCCAGTTCAGAGACAGCATAATTTTAGATGATTCCTTGTCAGCTTAGGGAAAAGGCCTGATTTCCACACCAAGAAGCTCCCTTTGCTCCTTTGGAATCTGTAACAGATCAATAAGCAGCTGGTAATAACAAGCACCAGCCTGGCCATACACAGTATGAAGGTCTGCAAAAGCCCAAATCCTTCAGAAGTAAAATGTCCTAAGAGAACAGCCGGCATTATTATTGTATGAATAACAACACTTATTGATTAAGTGGTGTTTCTTCAGCCACAAAATGCAGAACCAGCAAGATGCAGGTTGCAAACCAAAGCAATCACATGAGTTTTATCTCACGGTATAATTTTTATGATTGCTGTCTCTTGGAGTATTTTGTCTGTCTTATATTGGCACATGTTTATATATTGCTTTTACTTAGCTTCATGAGGCTCACATTGAATTTGTACTGAAAAGCACTGGGTATTTTGCACAGTGGTTTTGAACCTTAATCCAAGCTTCTTGCAGGATTAACCTGCTCTTCCTTCCACCTCTAACAGTCCCCCAAAACCCACCCAGCGTCTTGCACATCTAACTGTAGTCAGAGGATGCTGCAGATGGCAAGCAGACAGCTGTACTTCGTCATCAATGTGTTTCCTAAGGGATGCTCTTTAGACTCCACAGAAATAAATGATTATCAATGCAGCAAAAGATGGAGGAAACTGCTCCAGCAGCAGTTTGGTGCTGTAAAACCCTGAGGTTTATGGAGGCTCAGGTGGCCCCTCAGCCCTTTAAAAGCTTTTTTTAGCAGGGCTACTGGTGCAGAACTCCATTTCTGAGAAGGCAGCTGGCTTGTCGAGCCCTTGTTAAAATGAATTGTTGTTTAAAGGCGGGATCAAGAAAATCCTTGCTTTATAACTCCTTTTGTAAAGCCAACCGCCGAGTAAAGCTGCTGTCACTTCGCAAATGAAAAAGCAAACCCTTCCATGGTACAGCTTGAGTTCGAGCAAATGCCTCGTGTGCCAGAATGCTTTTCCAAAGCATTCTTTGGTGAAGCTCTGCTTTCAGTCCTCAGTTTGTGGTGCTTTGAATAGCATTTGTAGCTTCAGTAGCAATGAGTTGGTGATTTTTATGTATTTATTCCTGTTCCAGTGCGCTGGGACTAACAAGGAAGGCACCAACCTGGCCTCAGAAAGGTTTACGCTGATCTAAGGAGTAACAGAGAGTGATTTGCTAATGACTGAAAGAGAATTGGGTCATGCGGTGCTCTTCAGCTGGTGAAAGCAAAGGTTTAGCACATCACCCACACTCTGACCCTGAAGCTCCATTCAGAATAGGCAGCTGAGATGCTCAGGCCATTGATTTTAGTTATAATATATAGGAGGGGAATCACAGAGTGGTTTGGAAGGGATCTTAAAGCTCATCCACCTCCAACCCCTGCCATGGGTAGGGACACCTTCCACTAGATCAGATTGCTCCAAGCCTTGAACACTGCCAGGGATGGGGCCGCCACAGCTTCTCTGGGCACCCTGTGCCAGCGCCTCAGCATCCTCACAGAGGAAGACTTATAACCGGTTGCCTTACACCCAGCCTTCATCTCCCTTGTTCAAGTTTTAACCCTTTACCTTTTGTTCTATCACTACAGTCTCTTAGGAGTACTAGGGTTGGCGGGGTATAGCAGGGAGAGAAGAAGGGAGAGGGCTGAGGGACAAGAGGCAGAGGGGGCAGCGGGCGAGCCGCATGGAGGGTAAACCCGCCTTGGGGAGGGCGGGTAGGGGGGGAAGGCAGCAACCGCTGATCCTCACAGAGTCTGCCGGGTCCGTAGGAAGGGATGGGAAGGGGGAGAGAGGGGAGGAAGAAGGGAGGAGGAAGGCAGAGGGGACAGACAGAGGGATAACGGGAACAACCCCTCCGCAACCAGACCCCTGAGCACACTGAGGCGGGTTGCGCAGACGGGGCAATGGGCGGGGCTAACCTTCCCCCTCCCCTCTGCTGATTGGTCACCAGCGGAACAAGGGGACGAGGCACTGTGGTCGTCCCTTTGCGCGTTGGCTGCTGGGAGTTGTAGTCCGGATGGGCAGCAGCGGGCAGCGGTACCTGCGGGCTGGGGACTACAGAGGTGGTGGTGGTGGGTGGTGGGGGAAAGACACGTGGTCAGGGCGGGCCCCGCCGCTGTCACGTGATGTTTGGGTGCCGGCGGCGCGGCGCAGCTTCGAGGTGGTGGCGGGTGAGTGGCGCGCGGCGTAGACTCCCCCCTCCCCTCGGGGGTGACCTCGTGTGACCCCAGTGATGATGGGGGGGGCAACAAGGGGGCATGGGGCCCTTGCACTGTGTGTGTGTAACGTGGGACATGGGGCCCTTGCACTGTGTGTGTGTAACGTGAGACATGGGGGGCCTTGCACTGTGTGTGTGTAACGTGGGACATGGGGCCCTTGCACTGTGTGTGTGTAACGTGGGACATGGCCTGGCATTTTGTGTGTGTAACGTGGGATATGGGGGGCCTGGCACTGTGTGTGTGTAACGTGGGACATGGGGCCCTTGCACTGTGTGTGTGTAACGTGGGACATGGGGCCCTTGCACTGTGTGTGTGTAACGTGGGACATGGGGCCCTTGCACTGTGTGTGTGTAACGTGAGACATGGGGGGCCTTGCACTGTGTGTGTGTAACGTGGACATGGGGCCTTGCACTGTGTGTGTGTAACGTGGGACATGGGGCCCTTGCACTGTGTGTGTTTGTGTGTGTGTGTAACGTGGGACATGGGGCCTGCACTGTGTGTGTGTAACGTGGGACATGGGGCTCATGCACTGTGTGTGTGTAACGTGGGACATGGGGCCCTTGCACTGTGTGTGTGTAACGTGGGACATGGGGCCCTTGCACTGTGTGTGTGTAACGTGGGACATGGGGCCCTTGCACTGTGTGTGTGTAACGTGGGACATGGGGCCCTTGCACTGTGTGTGTGTAACGTGGGACATGGGGCCCTTGCACTGTGTGTGTGTAACGTGGGACATGGGGCCCTTGCACTGTGTGTGTGTAACGTGGGACATGGCCTTGCACTGTGTGTGTGTAACGTGGGACATGGGGCCCATGCACTGTGTGTGTGTAACGTGGGACATGGGGCCCTTGCACTGTGTGTGTGTAACGTGGGACATGGGGGCCTTGCACTGTGTGTGTGTAACGTGGGACATGGGGCCCTTGCACTGTGTGTGTGTAACGTGGGACATGGGGCCCTTGCACTGTGTGTGTGTAACGTGGGACATGGCCTTGCACTGTGTGTGTGTAACGTGGGACATGGGGCCCATGCACTGTGTGTGTGTAACGTGGGACATGGCCTGGCACTGTGTGTGTGTAACGTGGGACATGGGGGCCTTGCACTGTGTGTGTGTAATGTGGGACATGGGGGCCTTGCACTGTGTGTGTGTAACGTGGGACATGGGGGCCCTTGCACTGTGTGTGTGTAACGTGGGACATGGGGCCCTTGCACTGTGTGTGTGTAACGTGGGACATGGGGGGCCTTGCACTGTGTGTGTGTAACGTGGGACATGGGGCCCTTGCACTGTGTGTGTGTAACGTGGGACATGGGGGCCTTGCACTGTGTGTGTGTAACGTGGGACATGGGGGCCTTGCACTGTGTGTGTGTAACGTGGGACATGGGGCCCTTGCACTGTGTGTGTGTAACGTGGGACATGGGGGCCCTTGCACTGTGTGTGTATAACGTGGGACATGGGGCCCTTGCACTGTGTGTGTGTAACGTGGAACATGGGGGGCCTTGCACTGTGTGTGTGTAACGTGGGACATGGCCTTGCACTGTGTGTGTATAACGTGGGACACGGGGCCCTTGCACTGTGTGTGTGTAACGAGGGACATGGGGCCCTTGCACTGTGTGTGTGTAACGTGGGACATGGCCTGGCACTGTGTGTGTGTAACGTGGGACATGGGGCCTTGCACTGTGTGTGTATAACGTGGGACATGGCCTGGCACTGTGTGTGTGTAACGTGGGACATGGGGGCCTTGCACTGTGTGTGTGTAACGTGGGACATGGGGCCCTTGCACTGTGTGTGTGTAACGTGGGACATGGGGGCCCTTGCACTGTGTGTGTGTAACGTGGGACATGGGGCCGTTGCACTGTGTGTGTGTAACGTGGGATATGGCTTTGCACTGTGTGTGTGTAACGTGGGACATGGGGGCCTTTCCTGTATTGTTTATGTGTTGCTTTAGGGTCATGGCTTGTATACAGAGGCTTGTGTTTGACCTGGGAGCAGGCTCAGAGCTCTGTGTGTGCACACTAGATCCTATGGCTACCCTTGCAAGGAGTTTGCACACTTGCTTTCACACAGTGTAGGGTCTGTGGCTGCCCTTGCACGGGGTTGTGTGTGTACAGCCAGTTGAGGGGCAGGCCTGGGTGCAAGCTCAAGGGGCACCCATGCTGAGGGTGCCATGTTTGAGTCCCTTAGGGCTGTTGATGGGGTGACAGTGGGATATCCCTGCACCTGCTTGTCACCAAGTCACCATGAAACTGGCCTGCGGCTTAACGCAGTGAAACACTGGTGTGTTGTGTGATGTCAACATTGGGAGCTGTTCCGTGTTGTGGTTAAATAACAGGTTTATGGCTCAGTTTTAACTTCCCATAGGGTACAGTTGTATTTATCGGTTACACGGTTCCTTCCAGGCTAATTCAGGAGGGTTTAGCCATGACTGAGTCAGTGAAATGGACTTCCAAGTGCAAAGGAAGGAAATAAAATTACTTTTAAATATAGAAAGCACCACTCTCTGCCTCGGCTTAGTGCAGAAACTTTTCCTGTTGCTTTCATACTTCAGGGTGTTTGTGGCTCAAAGCCCTTGATAAAAGCTCCCCTTGGCTGTGGGCTACCATTAACCTGCAGCATCTGGCGCTGGAATGGACTTGAGGGGGAAATCTGTGCTTCCACTGAGCTGCTTGGTGTCTTTGTGCAAGAGAGGGTTTGGAAACCTAGAAGCTCACTTTTATTCCTCCACCAGCACGCCGTGTATGTGCTGCACACCCTCTGCTTGTCTGCATTTGAGGTATTCCATGACATCTGCAGTGGGAGATGATCTGGTAGCACTGCACAAACAAGTGTCTGCTAACATGTGTGTAGGGTGAAGTTATGTTCTTTGTGCTTCATCCTGCTAAACGCTACAGTTTTACAGGCTTGTGTGGGGCTGGGAAGGCTGGACTGAACTGGGTGTTGTTTTCCTTTTCTTTTTCATCCTGTAGGAAGAAGGTTCATGTTTTAGCCAGTATTTACCTCTTTTTCCTGGCTGGTATTTCCCTTTGCAATGTGGCTGTGAATGTGCAGTGCCCCATCCTGCTTTGTTATGCTCTGTATTGCATTGGCCCAGGAGGTATAGAATGATTTGTGTTGGAAAGGACCTTAAAGATGGTGTACTTCCAACACCCCTGCCGTGGGCAGGGACAGCTTGGAGCCATTCAGGCCAGGCTGGATGTGGTTCTGAACAGCCTGATCTGGTTGAAGACGTCCCTGCTCATTGCAGGGGGTTGGACTGGATGAGCTTTGAAGGTCCCTTCCAACACAAACCATTCTTGATCTTCCATTACACCAGGATGCTCCAAGCCCCTGTGTCCAACCTGGCCTTCAACACTGCCAGGGATGGGGCAGCCACAGCTTCTCTGGGCACCCTGTGCCAGTGCCTCAGCACCCTCATAAGGAAGCAATCTCCCCTCTCCCAGTTTAAAGCCATTATCCATAGAGTCATTGCAGCTGATTCAGGTCTTTCAATCACCAATGACTCAGGCCAGCTGCTCTCTGACCCCTTGGTGCCTTCCTGCTCTGCTGTCTTCTCCAGCTGTGTCCTTTTCCATTTCATCATGTCCAGGTTGGTCTCTGGGCTTTTTCCAGGGTGCTAATGATGTGCTGATTCCTTCTTTCTGAGCAACAGATAAACCCTGCTGCTCTTTCCAAAGCCTTCTGCCTGCCTGGTTGGCTTATGGATATTAATGCAATTAAAAAATCAGCACAACCCCCACTGATGTGGCTTTAATGGACATTGGAGCAGTGCAGCTACTGCTTTCGCATCAGCTCTCCATCCCCATTTCCTCCTGGCACTGTGCTTAAAGCAAGGCTGAGCTTCTGCATATGATGTCTCCCATCTAGAGGGGTGTTGGCAATTCCTTGGTTCAGAAGAGATTTGCAGTGTAATGCTGTGCTGCTGTGGTTTCCCTGGCATTAAGGGTTGCCTCTGGTGTAATGACTGTTATTTGGCTACAGACACTGGTAGAGCAGAGATTTTAATATGAAATTCTTCAATTCCCATCCTCTCTTGTGCAAAACCCCCTCTTCCTTTTCTCACAACTTGATTTTTGTTTAATTTGTATGAATTATTAATTTAAACCTCTCCTCATTTGCTCCTATGACCAGGTCTCCCATCCAGCAAGATGCCTGCTCTGGGGCTGGAGACTCTTTATTGAGAGTGAAGGAGAAAGAAGACTTCTGTGTCTTGATAAATTTGCACATTGATATTACAGCACTTAAAATCTAATTTAAAAAGGGAAAAGTAGGCAAGCTGAGAATGAATGAGTCTGTGCTTCCCCTTGCTCAGGAATGTATAGCAAATGGTATTTTGAATTGCTGGTTCTTCGGGGAATTCAGGGATATTTAAATAGCAAAGTGTGAAAGGGTAAATAATATCAAGATAAAAATAATTCTTTCAATTCCCTGCCCGTGTCATAAACTCATTCTGCTGGATGAAAATGGAAAGAACTGTAAGAAAGAAATGTGATTTACTTCCCCTATCTTTGTTATCCCCCTGCGTATGCTTCATCTAGCTTGGGCGGACTTGTGCACCCAGGTCTGACCGCATGAGATCTGTTGGGTGGAGGGGTTGTGGAATCACAGAATGGTTTGGGTTGAAAGGGACCCCAAAGCCCATCCAGTTCCAAACCCTGCCATGAGCAGGGACCCCTTCCACTAGAGCAGCTTGCTTCAAGCCCCTGTGTCCAACCTGGTCTTGAACACTGCCAGGGATGGGGCAGCCACAGCTTCTCTGGGCACCCTGTGCCAGCGCCTCAGCACCCTCACAGGGAAGGACTTCTACATCTAATCTAAATCACCCCTCTTTCAGTTTAGAGCCATTCCCCTTGGCCTGTCCCTACATCCTTTGTCCCAAGCCCCTCTCAAGGTTTCCTGGAGCCCCTTTAGGCACTGGAGCTGCTCTAAGGTCTCCCCTTCAGGAGCCTTCTCTTCTCTAGGC